GATTAGTGCTAAAAGTAGGTGTCACATTACGAAAATATGCTATACGAAAACAGTATTTAGTAAGATTTTAAGTTTCAAAAGTTAGAAGCATTGTTACTGAAATTTTAGGGCAAATTATGTTAATTTTAAATAACCGGGGCTTCAGTTTTTAGACTATGACTTTTTAATGTACCGAAATTTAATCAGCTAATTGATTTCCGGGTTGACGTCAAAAGCCGGTCTTTTACGAGCTTTTTAAAGGAAACTAGAAGCGAATTTTGATGAATTGGTCGGGGCGGGAGGTGCGCAACTCTTTTTTTGCGGTGGCCCGTAGAATATTTAACGAAACCCGAGGCGTATTCTATTCACAACGAATTTTCGGCCGGGTCCGTTTCGGGTTTCCGGTTGTGTTTCAGTAATTTTGCAAAATTTCAAAGAGCTTTTAGGGCAGGTTTAAATTAAAGGCGTGGGATTGACAGGATGTATTAAGTCGGATTACTGTGTGGTGAATGTACCGGTAGAAATGAAGTTCCCATAAAGGGAGCGAGAGAGAGGGATGGAGAGAGAGCGAGTGCGAGAGAGATGGGGCTGCAGTTTTGTTGAATTTTGTTCGTTTGCACTCTCCCTCTCCCGCTCTCTCTCTCTCTCTCTCTCTCTCTCTCACTCTCTCTTACTCGCTCTCTCTCTCACTCTCTCGCTCTCTCTCTCGCTCTCTCTTACTCGCTCTCTCTCTCTCTCACTCTCTCGCTCTCTCTCGCTCTCTCTTACTCGCTCTCTCTCTCTCTCTCTCTCTCTCTCTCTCTCTCTCTCTCTCTCTCTCTTTCTTTCTCACTTCATAATCAAAATTCCGGACTATATTTTTGAATCAGCCCCTCCTACCTTTCACCGATTGTTATCTTACTTTATTTCGGAGCTTTTCCCACTTCCATAAAAAGCGCAGACAGCTAAGCCGGGATTTGCTTGCAAAAGCTAAAGCCGTACCAGATCTTATCCGAAGTACTGCGGGAATACCTTCCCTATTTTCGTGATAGTCTGGTTTGGGGGCCACTTGACTCATCGCGCAGCTTTTGCTGAATCTGGGCGGATATCCGCATCCCGTCATGACGATTAGCAAAAAAGCCAAAATAGGAAAATAGCTCGGGTGCCGAGGGTAAGATTAGGCCTATCTCCAGGGGCTTTTAAGGCTTAGATTTTTTCCAGATTTTTTTCAGACTTTAAAGGGTTTTTGAAGACACATCTCACTGATAAAATCAGAAGCCAGAAAGCCAAAAGGCCCAGCTGCTAACCGCGACGGACCGCCTGCACGCTGCGCGTCGCGGTGCGGCCAACCGTAGTTTCCTTGCCGTGTTTTGCCTTGCCGATCCCTTTAAATCGATCCCTTCGAGCTTAAAGATCCAAAATCGCTATCTACCAGGTTCCTTTAAAACTAAAAATATATACCCACTGACGCGTCAGTCCAAGCTACACACCCCTTAAAATAGAAACCGCCCCGCAATAGGCTTATTGGCGTGCATATGTTATATGGTTCCCTAAACGACACCATGGACTCCCCGGGGTGGTCCCATGGACGCTCCCGAGGTGATGAAATTGCCATATTTTGGTCCCGTCTCAGATTATATAAAAGCTACACCAAGGCCGGGATCCCGCAAATATTGCTCTACTTGTTTCTTTGAGCTCGAACGAGACCCAGATTTCAGTCTGAGCTATGAGCTCGATGTTCGGGCTCAACTGGTCCCTTGAGCGCGTTGAAAAGTGCAGATTTTTCCTAGCACCCAATTTTTGTTTGGCGCATTAAGCGAAGCTCTTCGAGTAGATGCTTCACCACTCCGTCACCATACTATACTTTGCGAATTCGAGTCTGCAACTCGTCGTCAATTAAAACCAGCAAAACATCATTACAATAAACAAATTAGCGTGAGCCCCGGGCCATGTGGCCCGTGGGAACGCGCCTGACTTTTGGCGATACTCGCAATTTCCATGGGAGCCCGGAAAGGCAGGTAGGGCCATGAGGGTCAGGCCTGACTTGTCATTTGGTGTGTGTTCTCGGCTGAGAATACCATGGTCTATTAATGCTTAAGGTATCTTAAATTTTGAATTAGAAGTCGGCGGGAGGTTTTCGGGTATCCCGTCTCCAAAAATCGGGTAGCTCCGGAAAAATATAAATTTTCTCAAGTTTTTTTCGCATTTTTATTGATGTTCTGGATGTTCCCATACAGGAAACGTCTAAAAATGTGATAAAGAGCATTGTAAAGTTAATGTGAAATTTTGGCTTTTGTATAGACAAAGTCGGCTTTCACCGAGCTCATTAGCCAAAATAGGGTTAACCCCTCCGGATTTTTTAAAACTTTGAACTTTTTAATTTTTAACTTTTTAACTTTATCCCGGAGGCTATTTTGCCATCTTTGTCGAAAATTCCCGATTAAAAGACCCGTTCCCGGGGCAGGAAGATGCTAGACGGGCCAACGATTCCGTATTCCGTCATAATACGCACCCAACGGACTGTTGTCATGAGTATTTTATTATTTTTACGATTCCCCGAAATTTTTGGAGCCCACGATCGTGGCGGGCTAATGGGTTTGGTGGGAAAGTGGTGGGCGAGTGGCGGATCTATGCGCTAGAGAATAGTATGCTTTTTTGGGTACTCCGGATGCGGTTTAACAGGATTAGAAATGGGGTGTGACATGTCTTTTGATTTCAATACAGTAAAAAAAGGTTCCGTACCCCGCATAAGCCTAAACCGATACCTAAGCGTTAGCCTAAGCCGACTAAGCCTAAGCCCAAGCCTAGCCTAAGCCGAAGCCTAAGCCTAAGCCTAAGCCTAACCCCTCCAATTGAATAATTCTTAATCTTCTCCATGCCCCCACAATTTCCCTTCGCTTTCGCAAATTACAGCCGTTTTTCAACCCATCCCAGTGTCCACCACCCCAAATTTTCCCATGTTCCAAATTTGATCCCAAAAAACCCACCCAGACGCTTCCCAAAACCACAAACAAATCTTTGACCATCGCTAAGGGCAACTTTTCGACATCCATCCCCCTTCAAAAAGGAGAATAACATGACTAATTTCGGCTTCAGAATTTAGGGGGAGGGGGCACTGAGTCGGGCTCCCCTCTTCTTCTTCTCCTTCTTCTTCTGCAACATGTTTTTGACACAATGACGACAATTTTCGCACCCGCCGGGCCATCCCCGGAATTCAACTCAGCCACAATGCCCATTCTTTGGCTCTGATTCCGCTATTAAACTAATTCTGACCACCTGACAACGTTGTCCTGAGTTTTTGTTACATTTTTCCAAGTCCATGTGATTGTGGCAAATCGCAGGTCTTGGTTACTCCGATTTTCGGGATTGCCCATTTTTCCAAAAGTTGCGAGGCGCGCCCAGGTTCGAGATGCAATTTAACGTTTTTTTAGTAAATTGCAGGGTTTCCTGGTTTACTGTAGTGGACTTAAAGTTTGAATTAACAGAATTTTCTTGATAAGTCAAACGGTTCATGATGTAATTTTGCAAAATAAGCAGCCATTCTTCTTTCACAAGCGCTTTGATAGTTATCAGGACAGAAAATTTGATTTTTTTTAATCAGTTAGTAGAGATCTTTGCTAGTATTTTGTTTTCTCTATCTCTCTTTCTCCCTCTCTCCGTTTCTCTTTTAACGGAATCATCAGAAACCTTAAAATATACCGTGTCTTGTACTATTTCGAGTTTCTGTCTTACGCAACCAAACTTACAGTCACGGGGCAACATCCCTGTCCATCTCACTCTCACTCTCACGTACTCTCTCTCTCTCTCTCTCTCTCTCTTTCCCTCTCTCTCGGCCGGCCGGCAGCTAGTCCATTTCGGGGAACATTATGGCTTCTCCTTAAAGGGGATGGCCAACACGCCCCTTTAATCCACACCCCCACCCCTCTCCCTGAAAATATTAATTGGATGGCCTTTCCCACACCCAGGATCCCTCTCTCCTGATTTTTACTTATTTTTGAAATTTCTAATCAGAAACCATTTTGAATATCTCGAGGGTACCAGGGGAATCACTGTACTCAGGTCCTTGACTAGACAGGAATTTCTTAGCTTTTAGAGTCCAAGGCTAGTTTAAGCGCAAGCCTAAGCCTAAGCCTAAGCCTAAGCCTAAGCCTATGTCTAAGCGTACGCAAGCCCAAGCCTGAGCCTAAATTTTAAAAACACTTCTGGCAATTTTAGCCACTTAGATGACCGTCATTTTCTGCATAAATATACTTTCCCCTCTCCCCCCTTCAGTAATTCCAGGGTCCACGCAATTTTTGGGAATTTTTCGGCGGCTCAGGGACATTCGCAGGCGACGACGAAGCATTCGAATGTGCCAATTTTCGAGACCCCGTTTCCGCCGAATTCTTGTTTTCTCAATTCCTCAATTCCTCCCATCATTTCCTCGGGTTGGGCGGTATTTTGCACTTGAAAAAAGCTGTACTCCTCGTGTTCTCCGGCAGATTATTTTTTTCATCCCCGGGCAATTTTCCAGTTAATCTTCCACAAACTGTTGAGATATCAGATCCGCCCGGCCCGGTGGGGAGATTAGCGTGAAATATATGAAAAATTTTGGTGCTAAATTTTGTGGGTCTGCAGATCTGGGTATTATATTATTGAGGGGGATTAATTTTTTGAAGTCCTTGATCTTGTGGAAGATAGTGGAAGCTGTTGCGATATTTTGGTATTTTCCCCTCTTTTGCTTCGAAAACAAGCGTGACTTTTTCCATGTGTACTATTCTTTTTTTATATGCAATTTGCGTTCTTGACGTCTAGGTTGTTGCTTGTTATATCTTAAAGATTCCAAAAATCTCTAAGCTTAGCCAAAAAGCTTCCAATAAGCTTTTTCAGCCTGAAAAAAAGCCAATTTTTCAGTAGATCAAGAACTTCCACTTACTTGGATCCATCGTTCCAACTTTTGCTTCTTCCTATGCAAATTTCTAGGCAATTTACGAGCCAATACCGATTTTCAGCCTCTCCAGCCGACAGCCGGGTAACAAAAAACGTACGCTCCGTACTAAAAAATGCGCTGCTCTACCGTAATTCTGGTCGCGTGCCTGTGCCTGCTCGCTATTGTCGCCGAAGCCCAGCCACGGCTGCCTCTCCTCGAGACGCGTATGCGGAAAAAGTACGGTAGTTTTCGGCGAATTTTAGAAAGCAGATGAAGTTTTTGTGATATATTTTAAAACTATTATTTCCAGCTCAGAACCCTTCATGCTGAACGGGCGACTGCGTGAGTATGGAGACTTGTAAGTTTTTAAACATTTTAGGTATTAGAATTAAGGTTAAATAATCGTGCGCGTAGAGCACGGGCATAGCCAATACAAAGCCTAAGCCTAAGCCTAAGCCTGCGCCTAAGCCTAACCCGCTTACTTTCTAATTATGCCAAATTTCCTTTCTTTTCCAGCAGTCCCTCCTTCCGGCCATCCGCCGAATTTGTCGGCCGTGCCCCGATGGTGGTGATCGACGGCCGCGTGTTCACGTTGAGAGATTGAATTTTTTCCTCCCTTTCCAGCCCCCTTTAAATTATCCACATTCCCCATATCTACCCTCTATAAATAATGCCCTAGCCCCGTTAAGTCGTATATTTGCCATTTGAATTATGCCCTGTCGCTGGTCGGATAAACGTTGTTGTAGTTTGTATCATGACATGGCATACCTAAACGTATCAAAATAAAGCAATGGGCAGAAATTGTGTGACAGTTGAATGTATGGGTATCGGTGCAAACAAAGCGTGCCAAAATAGCTTCAAGTGGCACAATTAAGCCTAAGCCTAAGCCTAAGCCTAAACCTAAGTCTAAGCGTAAGCCTAAGCGTAAGCCTAAGCGTAAGCCTAAGCGCAAGCCTAAGTTTAAGCGAAATCCTAATCTAAGCCCAGGCCTAAGCTAAGGAAATTCCGGCTGCACCGAAAATCCCATGGAAACTCCGCTACCTCGTAAAAATGCACATTACAAAAGCCATAAATATCGGAGAAGAGTGGACCGGGTCTCCACGTTTAAAACTAGAGCGGAAATGGATGAAATATTATGAGTTATCGGCTCGATTTAATAGTTACCGAGAAAACTCCTCTCCCTGAACTTTTTATGATTTTTTTATGATAATTTAGGGGTGTTTGTCGGGGTTTTGGCCTTTTAGGATTTTGGTTGTTCAGATGCTTGATCTCGGGATTATGGCTGTCTGTCGGGATTTTGCCATTTTTCCCTAACCACCGAACAAAGCCAACCATTCGATCTTCCACATCGTCGCTAGGACACCCCCGCAGATGGGGGAAAACGGCCCGGGTTTTACGAGCGGCTTATTTTGCCACGCCAGCCGACCCCGCGAAGCTATTACGCGCGCCCTGGAGTCGAAAATTGTTCGTTCGTTTTTGGTGGTGTTTTACTATCGAACCAGTCTGGAAATTTCTATCTTTTTTTTCAGGCTTTAAATTCTCTGGGCGCAAAAAATCCTTTAAAACCGCGACAGAAAAACCGCTTGGCGACTTTTGAATTTCAAGTACTTTTTCTAGAACCCATGACTGACCCAACCCATTACGCAAATCCGGTTGACCAAAAACTATCCACACAAAAACGCTGAATTTAATGTAAAAAACAGTGGCTCTTGAAAATTGTTGGTGCTTAGCCATCCGTCAGCCATTACGCACCTAATGAGGTATCATACCAACCTTAAAATGTTTGCCTATTCCTGGACCGTTAGGACGGAAGTTGGATGTTCCCGTATTTGCTAACGAACCAACTACCGCGTATCAGCTTATCGTAAAACGGCCGTGTCTATGTCTCCCAAATCGATTTTTCCACATTTCCGATTTATGCTAGCCAGCCGCCGGACAGACTGCCCAGAATAAACGACATTTTTAAGACGTTTTCTTGTCCGAATCTTTGAGGGGGGTTGGTAGGCTGGGAAAAGCCGTGAATCATTTTGCTTGCTCTGAAACGCATTTATGAGGCAAAATAAATACGTTTTCTCGGCCCACCAGCTGAACGTTTAGATGGATTTGGCGAATCTAAAATTTTGCATCGTCCTTTTTATATCCATTACTTTTAGCTCTATACGTATTTCAAATCACAAAAAAACTGCCCAGAACCTGCTTAAAAGTTCTTGAGTCTATTCAGTGCCTTCCAAACATGAGCAAGCTCTGCGGCGTCCAAAATAAACAAACATTTCGCGGCGGGAGAGCCTGTTTCGCGCCCAAAATACTTGAAAAACGTCTGTGCTCTGATATCTTTTTCGATTTTCCGGTATTTGGATTTGTATCAATTCCAGCGGCTCCAATTTATGCATGAAAGGGCCGATCCTGATCCTGTGCTTTTGCTCGGTCGTGTTTTTACTGCTCTACGGGAAATTCGGTGATTTGGCAAGGTACGTTGGCCATAAAGTGTGGAAATACACTTTATAGGCATTCTTAATATCTGTAAAAATGGTTAATAAATTTTATGCCCCAAAACAACATCTAACTCGATTTTCAGTCAATCCCAATACGAAACTCTGCTCGGGCGGATCAGTTGGCCGGATCTTGGGGCAAATATCGATACCCCAAGCTTTCACACGACAAGAAAACCACGCCGAAATCGAAAACTTATCGTACCCCCCGATTCCGATAACGACTACACCGAGCTTGATGTATTCCCGTTTGACAGGACACCGATCGGGCGGTAGGTATCGAAACTCAACAAAAACACCCAGGTTTAGACCTAAAATCATCTTCTGGGGCTCGCGTGTTTTCTCCGAGAAAATGCCTGTAAATTTTCAACAGAGCTGCCCGGAAATGAAGGTCTGTAAGTGACTATTAGCTGTGAAAAGAGCAAATTTACGCTAATTAATGATACCATTTAAAGTATCGCTGTATCTTTCACTCTGACCAATCGCTTATCGCAGATGCTGATGCGGTGATATTTCACGAGGCTGATACACCTTTGCAAAAGTGTGTGGTATAAAAAAAATAAAGATAGCTTTTTAGAGCTAAACTCCTGCAAATACCCCGAAAACCTCACCAACGCTTTATTTGGTATACGCTCGAGTCGCCGGCGAATACCCATAGACCGCTGGATAATTATCCGGGTATAGAAATCTAAAAATAAAATTAAACGTCGTGTTAAATATACGATCAAAAATATGCGAAGTTTCAGCCCACTTTTTCAATTGGACAATGACCTATCTGCCCGAGGCCGATGTCTATTACCCCTATGATGCTGCCTGGATCACGAAAAAGGTTGCTGAACGGAAAAGTATGATTTTTTGGGGATTATAGAGCTTCGGGCTTTTATTTTAATGGTAACATCAATTTAGACGTACCCTTCAACCCACCGGTCATTCCTGATAAGGAAATATCTAAAAATCGAAGCTTACAAATCATCGGCATGATCTCGAACAATGTGCATATGAGGCTCAAATTTATCACCGATCTGCACAAGTCAGAAAGTTTTTAATATAGATTGTAAATTATTTTTAAAGGAAAGTTAATGTTGCCTTGCTTGGTGCGGCGGCATTCGAAGAAAAATGGAGAAATATTTGCCCAAGATCGGAGGGGAGTGAGTTAAAAAGGCATCTAACTTTTGAAAAAATTTTTCAGATGCTTGTATCAAGAAGCTAGTCGAGGATAGCTACTTTTTCATAGCTTTGGAGAATTCTATTTGTACTTGGTGCGTCGGGATTTTTAGCCTTAAAGTAATGACTTCTAGGTACACTACGGAGAAGTACTTTGGGCGCGCCGCGTGGAACAGCGTGCCGATAGTTTGGGCAAGAGAGTCGGGCGGGAATAAGTAAGTTAAGCTGTTTTCTCTTTTATTGTATGCTTTAGGTTTTTTGCTTTTTTTATTTATGTCCCCTTTATTGTTTTCGTTTTAGAATCTTCCCCAAAATCCGTTATCTTTGTCGAGGACTACCAATCTTACGAAGAAATGGCAAACCACCTAAAATATTTGATGCGCAACGCAACGGCTTATGCGGAATATTTTGAGTGGAGGTTGTTTATCTATTGTTATGAAAATGTATATTTAGAAAAACCCACACGATGGGTAATCGGGGGAAGACCCAGGAATGCGCGTTGTGCAAAAGATTACTAGCTGATGATGGGGCCTTCAAAACGGTAAGGCTGCCCTTGCTCTCAAGCTCTACTTTGCTTTAGTACGAATCTCCGATCTCGTGGTACTCCGAGCATTCTGCTTGCTCTTCCGAAGTGCCGGACCGCTTTTTACAAAATTAATAAGCTGGAAGCAGTTTTTCAAGACGATTCGGGTTTTTCATTGTGATTATAATACCGTTACGGGCTACGCTTACATTTCACTTTTCTTGATTGTTCACGGGTGTGAGGTGTTTTCTGGCACAAGACTTCTCTGGTTTGTGGTTTTATAGTAGGGCTAATAATAAATTGGTTATCTATATATGGTTTTCTAACAGGAATAAAAGTAAATTTATGTATCAACAGTGTAGGTAAAATGGTGAAGTAGCATAAAGTCTAGTAAATTCTCTCCCGACAACCTTCAAGTTTTTTGTATCTTGGTCTTTATTACGTTTTTAAAGGGCTAGACAATAATCGATGCCGCGAAAACAAAACTCCTAGAGAATATTGTCTCCATATCTGACGTCACAACTTCGACAGGTTTTCCAGAAAGCGTTAGCAGCGCATCATATTTTCTCTGCATTTTCTAGTCTTTGGCGGTTGGCACTGATAAGACCGAACATATAGGGGATGTCAGATCAGTTTGGGCACCTTTTTGCTCTTTGGATCTTTGCCAGATGCTTAGAATATTGTTTTCGGTCCTCGGAATCTTTTCCTATTCCGCGCTTGCCGTTCACGGACGTGGATGCGAAGATGGCGCCTACGATTGGTCAGACAAAAACGAGTGTATTCAAGCGTTTGGTGCTGGTGCGTTTCGCGGTTCCTTGGCATGCTATAAAACTACGAGAATATACAACCCATTTAAGTAATTCTATTACAATTTTAGTAGTGGACCAAAACGCAGCGCGTCAATCCTGTATCCACCTCGACTATTTTCAGGTTTGGCAAGTTTTGCATTGTCTGTACTTCTAGTTCCAGGGCCAGCTCGTCCAGCCACATTCGCTTTTCGAAAATACCCAAGTGGCGACACTCGTAAAAGGTTTGGTGGCAAAAATCCATCAAATCTTTTTTAGGTCTCGGCCAAAATTCGTTTATCGGCGTGGAAAAGTCGAATAACGTCAGTTGGACGTATGTTGATGGGACCGAATTAGTGTACCGGAATTGGGCGGGTAGGTTAGCGCTATGTAGCTGTTAGTGGAAATTCCCCGGCTTCTTTACACAGTTTGACGATCCGCGCGCTATACATTTTCAAATTATGCTAGTTATAAGTATCTAATCATTTTCTAGCCGGTGAGCCCAACCCAAACCACGCCTGCGCCGCCATGCAAATCGACGGGCAGTGGCGATCGGTGGACTGTGATACGGCGATGTCTTTCGTGTGTTCGTATCCAGATAATAAATAAATGCCTTGACTAGACAAAGTTTTATGGTCTCACAACTTTGATGTCGGAGAGCGTTGCGATTCCAAAGCTTTTCCCACAAGTTCCACCCCGTCTATGGCACATCCTTGGAAGAGAGTTACACCGGAACCGCCGTGACCGTAGTTGTGGATTACTGGGGTCTAGAAAAGCTAAAGTTTAATAAAGTATACTAGTCGATGCCTAAAGGTATATTTTCGAGCTCTGAAAGTATTACCATTTTCCCGGCGACCATTCTGTTCTCAAGCTCTACCCTCGGTGAATGTCTACCAGGCCTCAGCCCAACACGATGGGACACGATTTCGGCTTCCTAAAACAATACGAATTCTATTTTTCCAAGGTTTAAGTAAACCCTCAACGCCGGCATCCGCTTGGCATTCTCCTCGAAAATCCATTTTGCGGTCGCTGGGCGTACCGACAAGTCCCAGTCATCTTTTTCGGCTGTTCCTCCGAGGACGGTCGTTTCGGAGCTAAAATTTCAAGCTTTAACGTTTTTGAAGATCGTGAAAGGCTACAACTATCTGCTTGGGTACCTACTTTGGCAAAATGTACATCTCGTCGTCGAGGTAAAAGTGCTTGATGGTTGGGCATTTGACTCGGATCACCTGGCCTCTAAAGGATGATTTTCTACCCTGAAAACTCTTAAAACCTGATCGGGTGCACCGTCTTATCGCCCACTAACTTTATGGCCCCCAGGCCCGAGCAGTTCACGATGGCGTCGTACTAAAAAAATGAAAAGTTTATTTAAACCTAAAAATAATTACTTTGTTGCCCAGGTCGTCTAGCGATTCTAGAATCCGCTTCTGAATGATTCCGCCGTTTTGCCGGAATCTAGAAATGTTTTTGAGTTGAGTAGGTTGTTACGTTTTTAATACTGAAGCTTATAAACAGGGAAGTTTCTGAAAAAAAAACGAATAGAGAAATATAGACCAACTTTTTCAACAAATAACGCATATGAAGTCCGGTTTCCAGGAAGACTGTAGTGTAGAACCAACCTTGCCTAAAAACATTCTTTGAACGCTGTATCTTTCGCGTTTTCGGTCCCTTGAGGCTCAAACACATTTTTCTAAATGGCTCTCAGCTTTGAAAACATACTCCGCGGGATACGCTTTCGTGCCTCGTACTGCCAAGATCTCATCTGCGGGCAGCTCGCGGAATTGCAGGAAGAAATCAGCAAATTCGGGTCTTGGGACGGCTTTGCGCAGGAATTCGTATCTTAAAAATTTCAGTCGGTAAGTAAGTACAAGAAAATCTTCTGCATGAAGAAAAAAAATGTTTACCCGCTAATAATCATCGCGCCATGGGTGGGATGTGACCGGGCGTAGCCGAGAATATAGGAAAACGTCGCGCCCAGCCAACGTCTGAAAAATATATCCTAGAAATACGATACCTTGCACCTACTAAGTAGTAAGTTATTATTTACTTAAGGGTTTCTGGTGGTATACTCTCGCCAAGAAGGTATGGATGCCAAAATCCGGCCGCAATGTCGGACGTCAAGTCTGGGGAAAATTCCCCGGCAACGATGGTAATCTTGAAAGCTATGATTTTTAACTATTGATTTTTTTAATCTACTGGCTCCTGACGAGGACCCTCATTAAATCTTACTTACCTCAGCATCCGGAAATTTTTTCTGAAGCTCGCAAGCTTGGCTGAGCCCGATGATCCCCGCACCAACGACCGCGATGCGCTTCGGCATTCGTGTGAAGCGTGTTTTAAGACCAGAAAACCACAGGAAAAATGGAGTGGCACTCGGATGCACCCCGGATTGTGGGTTCTCGTTTCGCTTATCAGTCATCGTCCGAAAATTATTACCCGGCCAGCCCCCCGGTACAGCCATACGGAATGACCGCCAGCACGTGTCTCCATGAGAGTCTCTGAGCGAGGGAATTGGTGGGGTGATCGAGTGCTAAACAGCTGTAAAAATACCATATTCCAGCCATCGAAAAGTTAAAAAAACTGATTCGTAACCTTTCGGAAACTAGTTTAAAAGCGGAGAGAAGCGGTATACCTGCAGCTAACGTTTTTTGAAAAGCAATCTGCAAGCTTTTCCTATGACCGTTGCATTAACTATATATCTCATTTAAGCGTTTTAATTGTGGTAAATACCGTATTTCAGAGTTTTAAAAGTCCACGGCGTGCAAATTTTTGACTTCCCAAACCCTTTAACCGGTAAAAGTCGTACTCTTGCGCCCAAAACCAGCCAAAAGGAATTGTTTCCCGTTTGGAACCACCCCTCTTTCGGATCAAGGCTTGGACTATGATAGGGAACTCTATCTTTCTCCCTTTTCTGCCCCCATACCGGTCTGCGGTAAGCGGGCATTTTCTGGGAGGCACGGCTGGGGGTCGAACCCGGGTCGCGCGGGTGGGGGTCATTCCCTGGCACCACTAGGCCATGGGCACCGGCGATCGAGGCTGCCCTGTCGGCGCCTAAAAACGCTTTCTCCGCCTTTCCAAATCTGTAAGTTGCGATTTTTCGCTTTTATCGCATCCTAAATTCGATCCAACTGATGTATTCTAGTAGTTGCTTAGGTTTTACTAATTTTATACTTATTTTGAGGTAGATTCTAAGCACTAGGAATGCCTCATTTTAGCCTTTTATGCGATTTCCGGTTTCTTTCGTTCAGCTCTCGTTTTATCCCTATTTTTCTTTATGTTTCGTATTACTTAAAATCCGAAAAAATTATTCTATACCGTAAACGATTCTCGCTACTTTTTTCAGGTAACTTGATGTAATTTTTGGACTCCAATGCTTGAAAAACGGCATTTCTTCGCCTATAGATTTTTTAGCAATTTATGCTCATCTACGAAGCGCTTCAGGAAAACCTGTCGGTTGTAAATGTTTTGTATGGGTGTTATATTTTATTTTTAACAAAGGTATTGATATTTCTCCGTCTCTGGCTCTTTAGCGTTAATTTCCGCATAGCCCCAGGGCCACCTTTCCAGCGCAGGGTTCCGAAAATTTGAATGGCACGCCTCAGGCGGGTGTGTTGATTTATGATGGGCATGAGGTGAGAGAGAGAGAAAGCGAGAGTGAGGGAGAGAGAGAGAGAGCGAGAGAGCGAGAGAGAGAGAGAGAGAGAAAGAGAGAGAGAAAGAGAGAGCGAGAGAGAGAGAGAGAGAGAGAGAGAGAGAGAGAGAGAGAGAGACTTTGACAGCAAACCTATTGCGACGACCAACCATCAGCTAGAGAGCATGCAAATCGAGAGGGTCTCGAGAAATTACTCTAGTGTGTGCGTATTGCGGTATCTGGCAATCGGTTCATCTGCTGGGGGCTATATCTGCCCCACCTCACAGCCCCAGGTCACATCTCCCGCCAATAGTCCTCTACCGTCAAATGCCGAAAATGCCCGGCGGGGTCGACTCCACCCCTTTTGAAGGGGAGGATGCAACGTTGGGCAGTATATAAGCCCTGGTCAACGGCCAGAGTTTGCTTATATTTTTTGCTGGCTGGCCTAATCAACTCCGACCTCCCTGGACTACTGTAGAGTCGATAATCGGTTGTTAGCAACTGTATTTCGCAACTATTTCGGAATCTAGACCCTTTTTAAACCCAGAGTTTGTATGCGATCTATAAATCATATGGGTAATGAAAATAATTTTTTAAATAGTTATAAGCATTAATGCCAGTAATGGTAGTTTAAGTAGCTATCCCTAGTATGATGTTTAGGTTTTCTATTAAAATATTATAACTAGTTTTACTCACAAATTTAGCCCAATACAGGCTCTATTCGGCATAAAACGAGGTTCATAGTTTTACTTTTTTTTGACGTTTACAAAACATTAATGGGTCATTTTAAGGCCTGAACAATGCAATAGTATCGTCTTAACTTCGTCTGTTTCTTACAAAATAATTAACTGATCTTCGTAATTACTAAGTTTTTGCTTTAACTGGGTGCTATACAAAAAACTGCAGTAAGAATTTTTCAATAAGTTGCGTAATTAATTCTTGTATTTTTGACGACTAGATTCCAGCTCGGGTAACAAATTTGATGCCAGAAAACCTACATACACGCTGGAATATAATGAGCCGCCTAGCGTGGCCAGAGGATCGACTCGGAATCGAACGCTACACGAAATGTCTTACAGTAAATTTTGGAAAAGCTCCAAGCAATAAAATTCTTCACCCCGCCCAACCCCTCAACCCCAAGCAGACCAAGTCTACGCCCGTTTCCGAAGCCTTCTTTTGGGTCTTCACCGGGAGTTGACTCGGTCTTCTCGGCGATGGAGATTTTGAATGGCCTTTTCAGATGTTTTCTAAGATTTAAACCCGGTTTTGAAGGCTAGATCAGCCGGATAAATTCTCAAAACGGTAAAAAAGTGAACAAGAGATTGTATAACGTAATTTCTGTCGAAAATATAGCGGAATTTGCATAAATCGTGACATTCCTTCACGCTCCTTCATCCCTATCCCCACAAACCCGTCCCCGGGACACCTAGTCGCTTCCCTGGTCCGAAACGTTCATCGCGATTTCACCGGGAGTTGACTCGGTCTTCTGGGAGATGAGAAAACCTGGAAAAATATCTGAAAATGAAACGCAAATTTTCTTCCCTTGGTTTTAGAGTAAAAAAAAATAGATTTTGTTTCAGCTAAAAATTTTTCTAGCCGAAGTCTAACAAGGAGTCGTTTTTAGGTGAGATTGGAGTTTTTGAGCGAGACCTAGCTAGTTCGATAGAGAAAAAAATTCTGAGCAAGATGTCGTTTTCCAAATCTGCTAACCGTGTATTGTATTCGATAGAAATAATTTGAAAATCATTAATTTCGCCATCATTTTTCACCTAATCCGCAGTTTTCGCGCTGTTGGTGCGCGTGAACATAGCCCCCTTCAGACCCTTGAACCACCACGATCGCGTGGCCTATTGGTAGTGCACTTGCCTCACAAGTTTTTTCTTTTTTTTGCCTTCGGGTTCGACTCCTAGCTAGTGAAACTCTTTTGCTTTTTGCTCTGTGATGCCAAATATGACCTCAATTGCGTTTAAAACCAAAAAGCAAAACAGCTAATCAAAAAAAGTTCCGAACTCCGAGCATAAACTTGCAAAAGTTTGGTAGGCGCCTGCACTAACCACTACGCCACTATCTCATGCGGATGCTGGTTCGCATTGCGGCCTATGTCCCGGGCCTGATCCAAGCGTGGCAGCGTGGCGCCACGGAATTTTTTCATTAAAATTCATTTTTATCGAATACAATACACGGTTAGCAGATTTGGAAAACAACATCTTGCTCAGAATTTTTTTCTCTATCGAACTAGCTAGGTCTCGCTCAAAAACTCCAATATCACCCAAAAACGACTCCTTGTAAGCCGATACCTAGGCCCAGGCCTACGCCTAAGCCTGAGCCTGCGCCTGAGCAACAGCTTGAGCCTAAGCCTACGCTTTGGATAGGCCTAAGTCCCAGACTAAGCCTACGCTTTAGCCTATACCTAAACCAATATCTAAGCCTCCGTCTAAGCCCAATCACAAGCCTAAGCTCAAGCCTCAGCGTGGGTCCCTTACCAGTGATTGGCTGCTTCTCCAGTTGACGGCCCCTTTAAACCGTCGAACCCCTCTGAAACCACCCATAATTTGACAATTTCCCCCAGGGGACCCAAAGTAAGTAGCCGCCCCCCCCCCATCTCTTCTGAAGTGGGTTGGTGTTGAAGGGTCTGAGTGGTGGGTTGGCTGGGCCTTCGTTCCCTCCATCTGTCCAGAGTATCCGTTCGTAGTGTATTCGTAGTGGTGGGCTCTCCGGACGGCCTATTGATCTCTGTCTCTCTGTCTTTCTCTCTCTCTCTCTCTCTCTCTCTCTCTCTCTCTCTCGCTCTCTCTCTCTTCAGACCCCCAGAACCAAGGGCACCAGAGGACCCTGGCCGGGCCCCTAGGAGGAGAATGAAATGAGAAAGGCCCCATAGGGGAATGGCCATTCCTTTTTGGGGCCGCCGTACCCTGGGCCCTAGTCTGGGCCCTAGCGGGTCTTATGCTCGGCCCTAGCGACTAGCCGCAGGATTAGCATTTCCTGGCGAGGGTTTTAGCAATGCTTGGCATCCTCTTGAACCTACGGAAGTAAGAATTTTTCATTTTTTTGGATACAATACGTAATTTTTAGACGACTGATTACATTTAAAGGTATCTGGAGGTGAGACCAGGCTTTTAAATACTTCATCAAATTGTTTGTGGGCTTAAATTTTTTTGTGAAAGTTACCTACTAGATATCTTTGCTTTTGCCTATTAAACACTTTCCCCACACTTAAGCCTAAGCCTAAACTAAGCCTAAGCTAAGCCTAAGCAAAACCAAACCTAAGCCTATGCAAAGCCTAAGCTAAACTTAAGCTATGCTAAGACTTGTAGAACCCGCAAAATTGCGTAGTACTTGCCTAAATGGCGATATTTCGAAATCCATTCCATCGTGAATTGATGTCCCGCAAGACCTACCATTAATGCGACATTCTAATCATGACAAAGCATAGAAAACCTTCAACAATTTCCACAGCTACAATAAACACCTCTTGCCCCTATAGGAAATGCCGTTCATTTCGTACGAGAGCCTGACCGCAACCTCACGGCACGTAATGTCCCTTGGGGGTTGATGGGTCCGTTTCTACCCCCTCCTTGCGTGAGGCCACTGCGGCTCCTGGGGCCCCAGCCTTTTCGTACAATTACTCATGAATAATTGGGAAGTCAGGGAAGGTCGGTCCCTAGCTCTCGGTCAACAAATGAAAATGTATAGTCAGTCACCTTTGCTAATGGCACGGCGTTACTGTAACGGAGTCGAAAGTGCTGGAAGCTGGCTTAAGTTGATGTTCCTTAAAAACAGTATTGTGCCACTTCCTTTAAAATAAACAGGCTAGATTTTGGCAGCGTCAGAAGAGGAAAGACTTTTCGTCTCCTTCTCTAGTACGCCTTAATGCAGGCTAATCAAGGGTACTTAGTGACCTCTCTCTCTCACTATCTCCTCTCTCTCGCTTTTGCCCCCTCTCTCCCGCTGTATCTCTTCTCTCTCTCTTTCACTATCTCTCCTCCCTCTTGCTTTTGGGCCTCCCTATCTCTCAGGCTCTCGCTCTCTCTCTCTCTCTCTCTCTCTCTCTCTCTCTCTCTCTCTCTCTATCTCTCTCTCTCTCGCTCTCTCTCTCTCTCAATTCAGAAACGTCTCCTCTACACGGTACTTCATCAGAATGTTTTGAAAAAACCTGAAAGCCCTTTCTCGACTTGCGTTCTCGATTTTGAATTAATTCCGTCTGGCTCCTGTGTACTCCATACCCAACTTTCAGAGTTTTGGCAAGAGCTCTCTTTTATCGAATGTTATGGTACGCTTGAACTTCTAACATACGATAATTTAAACCGTATTAATTCATAGCGTTAGTTGTGCACTTATAAAGTTTAATGTTTACAATCCAGCTGGTCGATTTCTTTGTACTTTATGTTGCTTCATAAAGTGCTTTTGTCTTATTTGTCCATGTTTGGGTTTATAATGGATAAAACGCATCTAATACCCTAAAATTCATATTTGTCTACATGGTTTGCCAACTTATCCAGCTATTCAGGTATTTTTAATATTTTTTTTATTCTATGGAATATGGGAATTCTAGCTTCAAAAACATTGTCGATATTTTTAAAGTTTAAGCTTCAAAGAAAAAAGATTTTTTTGTGTATGATTTTTAATGTTGTGTAACCAATGAAATTTGGTAGCTTAGTTTTAAAAATGTTAGGTAATTTTTAAAGCCTTTTAAAAATCGAAAATTCCTGAAGCTGGGGAAAATCGCCAAAAAAGATTAAGCTGAATTCGGCAATTTTTCCAAACGCTTTAACGCCACGAAATGATAGACCTTGAAAAGTAAATGTTTTTATGGCTTTAAAATGTCAAAATCCACAAAGTTTTGACAGAGTTATAGACCCTTGAAGTTTCGCTAGTTCCTGGATACCTTGACCATGCAGCGTCTCTTTTTCTAGCATTACGTGAACGCCTGTTTTGCAAGCCCCTAAAAAGTGTTCCTCCCCCTTAAAAAAGCTCCCGCCAAAAACAATAAAGATCACGGCCATTATTCGGGGGCGCTGCACGCGGGCGCGTATGCACTCAACGATCACATACAGACCCCCGGCCGCCCGGCGCGAACCCCCTGTGCATCGACTTCCGGTAGCGCAAAACTTGGCCCCAGCGCGCGGCCAGGCGCGCGTGTCCGGATGCGGCGACATTTACATTTCGGATCAACCCATCCGCACTTCGCAAATCCCCGCGCTACCCGGGCGCCGCCTGGGCGTCGCGCGTGTAGCCCCGGACGCGTTTGTTTCTCTCTCTTTTTTGCTTCTACTTGGGGGCTACGTCATTTGGCTCGGAATTTAGTGGCTCTTACGCAAGAATCTTTGCTAGATAGCCTTATAGCTTTATTTTCCTGAGGAATCTGTGCTAGTTTATCATCTGGGTAAATTTTTCCGCCTACTCTGTTTATCCTTGATTTGTTGTTATTTTTCTGAATTCTCTCTTTTTCTTTCTTTCTCTCTCAGTCTTCTATCAATTGCATTTTCCTAAAAAATCTCCGCCGGTCTGCCCCTGGCACTTGACTCGTTTCCAATTCTGGCGTTTCTTTCCCTTTCCGAGGGGATACTCAAGGATGCGGATCTGCCCGGCCGACCGGGTCCCAATCGGGCCCTCAATTAAGGGCCCACCGCTGGCCACTGGCCGTTCCACATCCGCTTATTGATTTGAGGGTCTTTTCCGGATCGAAGAAAAATCGGAAGCGGTTTACAAGCCATTTGTGCCGACCTCCGGTTCAAAAGTAAAAAAAATTGCGAAAATCTTGAATTTTTGGCGATTTTTGTTTTTAAATTTTTAATCGATTATTCGAATTTTTTGTAAAAATGTTTTTAGTCAAAATTGCTGCCATTTTTATAAGTTGAAGCTGTTCTCCTCTGAGTCAATTGTAGAATTTTTCGAAAGCGACCGGAGCTCAAAAAGCATCAAAAAAATCGCAAAATATGCATTTTTCCTTAATTTAAAAAGCTTCTACAGATTTTTGGCAGGAAATTCTTAGAAGCAACCTTCCCTTCCTCTTCTACCCCACCCGAAAAACGTTTGAAACCGGAAACTCGTTTGTCTTCGCCGGCCCATTCCACGGGCGGGGGGCATCCAATTATGCAAATTTGATGGTTGGTACGAAAATGCGAGGTTTCGGTGTGCGGAAAGAGCGTCTTTGCGCAACATTTAGGAAAGTGATTCCAGCATTTAGTTTCTGGATTTGGTTAGCTAAGCCTAAGCCTAAGCCTAGGCTTAAGCCGAAGCCGAAGCCGAAGCTCATATCGAAACCTCTGCCCAGTTAACTATTATATTGGAAAACCTCCGCTCCACTGATTTCCACCTTCCCAACACCTCAAGTACCGTATCACACCGTTTTTTACGATTTCCAGGGTCCACAAGGGCCGATTGAATTGACCGAGGGTCAAACGGGGCCGCCGCGCGATAATCCGAGGCTTAAACATTTGCCTACCACGCTGTTTCTCAGCCCCATTTTTCATGGGGGCTCTTCAGACCCAAAAATGGGCCGCTTGAGTCTCTCTCTCCCTCTCTCTCTCTCTCTCTCTCTCTCTCTCTCTCTCTCTCTTTCATTCTCACCCGCTTCTCTCATGCTCGATTTCTGTACAATGTACACAATACGGATTGCATCGGAATGCATTGAAGGGTGAGGGATTTTGGGATCGAGAGCTTGACTGTTAGCGCGGTGGAAAGCGCTCCTCAAAGGTCTCTGCAAGTTTGCCGATTCCTTTAAGTTTCTATCCACAATGGTGACTGCTATGCTGAAAGCCCAAAAGCTATTTCCTTAAGGAACCTTGCTAGATTGCCCGTTTTTCTTTTTTAAAGTTCTCCTCAAAGATATCTGCTAGTTCTCGCCGGAATTTCCGTGGGAATCTCTGCTAGCTTGCCTTCTTAAGATTTCCTCAAGGATCTCGGCTAGGTTCTAGAATCAGGTGCGTTCTTCAAAGGCCTCTGCTAAATCACCCACTATTTTTGGAGTTTTTCCCAGGACCTCTGCTGGCATTCCCACTTTCAAGGCTTCCCTAAGGATCTCTGCTAGCTCGCCCATTTTTTTGAAACATTCATTGAGAATTGTTGCCAGCGGGTCGATTAAGGTTTTCTCTTCAAACTAACTCTGCTAGCATGCCCAGTTCCTTAAGGTTCGCTCCAAGATCTCTGCTAGCCTACCATCAATGTAACTTTCCATTCCAACAATTTCCGCAACATTTATGCCCTGCCAGTTGACAGGATCGCTAGATGCCACTGTGGGGTAGCAGGGAAACAAGTTGCCTTCCGGGCTTCATCCCCCTCCTATCGCTACCCGTTCTGCGGTGTATCTCGTCTTTTACCACCCATCCCCACCCTTCCCCGTCCAACTGACTGTCCCATTGTTGTGTTGACGGCCGGATTAGCCAACACAACACACCATCAGCGCCGTCCGTGTCCGCCGCATTCAAATCACCTTTCACCCCGGGGAAGCTCTCGCTTCTCACCCTATTTGGAGACCATGAAAACCCCTAGAAGCTGCTCATCGATTTTGGATTAGCTTTTAGCGTAGTTCTCCCTCGCTTGCTCTCTCTTTCTCTCTCTCTCTCTCTCTCTCTCTCTCTCTCTCTCTTCTCTCTCTCTCTCTCTCTCTCTCGCTTTCTCTCTCTCTCTCTCTCTCTCTCTGTCTCATTAACTATCTCTTCACGCACTCGATTGCTCGCTCCATCTCGTTTTCGCTTTTTTCACGAGGCCTATCTCGTTGTCTCGGTCTCTCGCTCTCTTGCCCCAACTTTCTCAAAAACATGAACCTATTTAATTCATACCTTAAGCTAATATTGGCTACAAATTACATCGCGTAAATTCTGCAAAAACGAGCCTAAAAATGCTGGTTCCAAGCCTAGGTTTACAGCCCCCATGCGCGACGATCCGGCTGATTCATACAAATCAGCCGAATTGCTGCGAGAGAAATGAAGACAGAGAGAGAAAGAAAGAAAGTGAGAGAGAGAGCGAGAGAGAGAATGGGAGGTAGAGAGAGAAAGAGATCGAGTGAGAGGCACGCACGAACCGTTCTCTTTTTTTCATGTTTTTTTCGAGGGGGGGGGGGGGCTGGTGGTTAGTTGTGGGTGGTAGTGATGGTGGCCGATTTTTCCTTCTCTCCTGATAGTTATAGTGGGGGACAAATTGCAGATAGGCGATCGCGCGTCCTCGAGGGCTTTCATTCCTTACCCTATCCATCGACTCTAATCACATCGTTCTCACCAGTTAAGCCCAGGGGAGGAATTGATGATCAGCACCTTCTCGTCCTCTTTTAATGTGCCGCTGATTCTCGAGTCGGGTTTTATGGCGCGCACGCGACATTTTCAAGAGGTTCGGCTTAGGTTTAGTTTAGGCTTTGGCTTAGGCTCAGGTTTAGGCTCAGGCTACAGTTGAGCTTAAGCTCAAGGTAGCTTTTTCGTTACTCCAGTTTATACAAATTTATATGAGCTTTCCCGGAACGCATTGGTTAGATTTAATTATTTTTTGAATTTTGGCATATTATTTATTGAATTTTCGATATTTTTTACTATAGTTTTCGATTCCCAGGATCCATCCCCTTTTCAGAATGCCCAATGGGGCCGACCAGGACCCAGTGCCCCGGTCGCGGGTCCGTGATCTGGCCCGAAGGTATCTTTTCATTAAACTACATCTAAATTAACCCAATTTAGGTTCGAAGAAATCAGCACGGCACCTTTTCCGACTCCGGCCAAGCCGGCGAAGCGCATTGGGAAATTCCGAATACAGGCGCCAAGGTATGAATTTTTCTAGTCAAGCGAACATCCCTACTCCCTACGTTTCTTCCGAGCTTTAATATGACCATTTATAAAATGCTTGAAACTTAAAATTTTGTGTGTATTAAAATCTATTAAAAAATAACTAGCTTTTCTTACTTCGTTTAATGTGTTTAGAGCATAAAAATGCGAATTCCATGCATATTTGGTTTTTTATCACATCCTAAACATCATTAAAGTATTTACAGCCGAGAGAGAGAGAGAGAGAGAGAGAGAGAGAGAGCGAGAGAGAAATACTGTCCCTATGCTAATTTCTCGTCAATATGCAAATTATAGCGATGCGGCCAGGGGGGCTGGCGGGTCCCGGCTGGCGCAATAATTATGAGAGTGAGTGTGTGCGGGTGTATGAAGGGATTAGGGTGCGAACGGGGGTCCTGCGTTGATTAGGGTCCTTTCTAGGGGCCCAGGGCCCACCCCAGAATTTATTGATTATACCCGGACACCATTCTTGGGCCTCATGGGTCTGGGGTGTGGAAGGGGCAGGTGGCCGCTCCGGAAATTGGCTTTGCCAAGCGTTTCGTACGATTTTTGGCCCAGTCTTTGGCCCTTATGCTAAAATGTGAATTTTTTTGCATGTTTTTAATCCAAAAATTTTTCGAAAATTCTATCGAAATTCGGGGCAAATATGCTAATTTTGAACCTTTTACGGAAACATCAAATTAGAAAGCTAATCTCATTAAGAAAAATTAAAAATACAAATTTACGACCATTTTTTTCTCTTTCTTTTGCTCTTTTTCAGTGCTTGCTGCGTTTCCTATCAGCGCTTGGCTTACAAAATATTTGGCATCAGCCAATCCGATGATTGCCGCAGGAAAACCGCCACTTGACCCACTGTTCTCCTCCTCCTCCTTCTCCTCGTTCTCCTCCTCCCCTCCGGCTCCCCAGGACAAAGCCCACAATAAGGGGTGTCGTGCTCCTCTATTTCGTGCTCCACTCGTTTCCCGTTTTCTGCACCTCTTGCTCTCCTGGATGTCTGAATAACGAATAACGGACACGCTTTCTTTAGGCTTTTTCTATTCGGTTGTCGGTGATTAGTGGGTGTTTTCTCTCTCTCTCTCTCTCTCTCTCTCTCTCTCTCTCTCTCGCTTTTCTATCATTTTATCCTTCAGGCACCTCCACAAAACATCGGTGAGTTCGTGTTCATTCCGAGATGATGTGCCCGGTGCTCAATGCCTTTAACTAAACCGCCAAAGAAACTAAAAAGATTCCTTGACTTCCCAATCCCTTTAAAATATCTAACCCCCCACCGAACACTTGGCACCCGATCAAAATGTAATTAATCCCAGCGCCCAGGGGTATCTCTTTTGGTTGTAAAGGGCGGTTGGACCAGGCTAGGCTAGTTCGTGCTCCCGTGCTAAGGAGTCGGACTCTCCCCCGTTCGTGGCCCATACTATGGGGCCTTGGTGGAATTATTACAACCTCGTAGTCATGGTCTCGTGGGGGTGTTGGAATTTGCTGGATATCTCTTTTGAAATCACTATGTCTCTGTTTCTCTCTCGTTCTTTCTCTCTGTCTCGCTCTATCTCTCTCTCTCTCTCTCTCTCTCTCTCTCTCTCCATCTCTCTCTCTCTCTCTTTCGCTATGTCTCTCTCCCTCTGCTATAGCTTTTCGTTCCGATCCATCATCGCCTTGGCTCAAAATCGTAGCTCGGTTTAGACTTAGGCTTAGGCTTAAATTTAGGCTCAGGCTTAGGCTTAGGCTCAGGCTTAGCATTCAGCTAAAATAATTTTTACAAATAGATATATATATTCAATTTTATTATCGAATTATCATTTTCAGCGAACCCGTAAAAGTGGGCCTGGCCCGGAAACGAAGCTCCCTCAAGAAGAAGTCGCTCAGCTCGTACGAAATCTTCCAAGGCAGTGGGTTCTAGTGATTTTAAAGGGGTTTCAAGGCAAAAATCGCAAGACTGCTATGGATTTTGCCTTCAATGTCCCTTCAATGACCGTCTTCTGGCGGGACAATCGATAAAACGGGAACAAAACGGAATTTTCAGGGAACTCGACGCGAAGAAAGTCTCAATCACTATCCCGGGCGGCTAGCAGAGAATCTTTAGGTACAGAATTTTAAAAAAAAATACAGGATGATTTTTATCATCAAATTTTAAATTAATTGATTTATCTCCATAGACGTTTAATTTTAATTCAGCTGAGACAAGGAAGTCAAATGTTTTAAGGAAAAAAATCTGGCTCCCAGAAGCGGCTATCCATCGCCAAGGATTTAGAAGTTCCGGAAGCGGAGGATCAGGTGAAAAAGTGAGTTTTTCTACAGCTTCCGCTTCATCATTTCGTGTAGTTATTTAGTTATTTTTCTTTCTCTTATTTTCAATCTGGGTAACCCAAAAGTCCACTTTTTCCTATTGACGCCAACTTTCCAACCCCGCGTCCAATCGTCATCGCGTGCCCATTTATTCGCACTTTAATCCGCGCGGCTGAAACTTTAGAGTCCCCCCCCGGCCCCATGCCCAACCAGGTCGATTTGCAGCTTTTGCGGCTGTAAACGAGCCATCCCGCCCAATTTTTGCCCAATTTTTTGAGGGTTCTAGTCTAAAAATTGCACGTTTCGGGTCGGGAATCCCTTGCTACCGTAATCCGTGAGTTTTTAAAAACAACAATAAGTAATAAAATGCAAAAGAAATTGCAGAACGACGTTATTAATTGAAAAATCTCGATTTTCAGCAATTTTATGGCAATTTCGATTGCGTTTGCGCTTTTTAATTAGTTTTTGGCGCTAAATTCATCGAAAAACTTTGAAATACCTTTAGCACTAAAAAAATTAATGCTTTCGCAACTTTGGAAAATACTAATTTGTATTTTTCTATTTATTTAGCTTATTTTATTTTTTTATGTTTTTTATGCAAATTAGGAGTCTTCAGTATTTTGGTATTTAAAATACTACCGAAAAGCACATGAAATTTTTGGCATGCCAAAACTAGCGTAATTATCGTCCTCCAAACGCAAAATTTACCATTTCTCATATGCAAATCTACCATCCACATAAATGGCTATGTTTAGCATTCACCCCGGCCATCAGCAAGCCTAAAAAACGCTAAAAAGCGACCGGTTCTCCCCCCTCGGGCTTGCGCCGCGTCCATAAATGGCCCTTTTTTTGTTTTGCCATGTCTTCCTGTCGGCCAGCCGTCGCCCCGTATCGTCGCGTACTATCATCAACATGCAAATATTTACAGATGGATGCGGGGTTTTAGTGGATATTTCATGATTTTCCTCGTTTTCTGCTCAAAACAAAAGTGACGGCCCTCGAGAAAATAGGACAAAGGGACAGCCATTTAGAATTCTGTCGATCATAAATTGTCGAGTGGGGCTTTGAGGTTTCCAGATTTGGCCTTAAAGCTTTTTAGATCTTTTGAGCATAAACTTGAGCTTAAGCTTAGGCTTACAGAAGGCTTCGGCTTAGATACAGCTTAACTTTTAGGCTTGGCTAGCTTGGCTCGCGCTTCGGCTCATCTGCTTTAGCAAACTTACTCCAGGCTTAAGCCGAGGCTTGGGTTTAACCGGGCCAGCTTAGCCTCAGCGCAGGCTTAGCTTAGAAAGCTTTGTTTCGGCTTCGAAATTTTTAGACTTGGGCCAAGCTGGTGCTTGTTAGTTTAGGGGTGAGCTGGTGTTTAGCCCTAGCTTAGACTTAGCTTGGGCTTAGCTTGGGCTTAGCTTAGGCTTAGACTTGGCTTAGCCTAGACTTAGCTTCGGCGTACCTTAGGCCTAGCTTAGGCTTGGTCGTAAGCCCGATCCCTTTAACATGTTCCCCATTGTTTTGAGCCAATCCCCGAATATGGTTGCCGCTTACAAGTCTGACCCAGTTCCACTTTCTGGCTAGCCACCGGCTGTGCATGTGGAACGACATTTAGCGGATTGTCCACCCCCTCCAAGCGATTCGGACTGACATTTTCACGCGTTTTTCAGACCACTCGGGGCTTATTTTTCGAAGCGCACCATTCTCTCTCTCTCTCTCTCTCTCTCTTCCCTACCTCAAAATTTCTTATTTTCAGACTAGCACCACCAATGTCGCCCCGCGGCGCGAAGCCCGAAATTCCTGTCAAACCGCAACGCCTGAAGCTCGAGCAAAAGGTTGGTCACACAACGCGGCCGCGACGCCTCTACGCAGCAACTGCAACTTTAACCTAAGCCTAAGTTTAGCCTGAGTTTAAGTCTAAGCATCCAATACCGTAAAATAGCTCATCGCTGTCTATTTCCTGCCAAAAAGTCCCAAAATTAACCTATTTACCACCACTTTTGGTTCGACCCCGCTCTGCAGGGCGATTATAAATGGCAACACCCGCAGGCAAATATCCATTTCTCCTCGTTATGCTGATTGTTTTCCAGGTGGAGCCGACGAATCCGGTGGCCTCCCGCACGGATTCATACCGAATGGCCACCCAGCAACTGTCCGTTTCCGCTTCCACCTCGGCCGAGAATCCCGACGAGGTCGTCGAGCTGTCATTTGAAGAGAAGGCCTCGGTGTCGCTGACTGTCAAGTGGGTTTTTGCGGAAATATTGGAAACATTTAAAACTCCAAATTTTTGTAATTTATTTTTGGCTAGTCCTTAAATTACGTTTTTTAATTTTGTACGATAGAAGCGTATAAATTGCATAATCTCGGATCCGAAATCTTGTTAATTTTATTCTTTTTAAACGTATGGATAGTTTTTTATTTTTTGTATAAGTATTTGTATGAGTGGAATGTTTATAAAATCTGCATAATGCCGGGTCGTTTTTCAAGAACTTTCATATACAAAAAATATATAAAGCCTCGAAACAATGTTCAATCTATCGAATTGCCCTTTGTCCACCCGTGTTCTCGACCCTTGTGCCCGAGCCGGGGCAATTTTCGGCTTTAGCACGGCTTGAAAACGCTATGGTGTCCCGGTGAACCTTTGCCCTGAACATTGAATACTAGACCAGACGCGAAATTACTTTTAACGTTTTTCTCACGACTTTCTTAGATTTTTGGAAGGGGTCGAAGAGGCGCTAAAACGTGTCTTTATCTTGCTTTTTCGCTTTTCTCTCTTCTATCTTTCCCTTACTCCCTCCCTCTCTCTCTGACTCTCTCTCTCTCGCTCTCTCTCCCTTTTCGTTAGTCCCTCTTGTTCTTTCTCTTCCCTTTCTCTGTATGTAAATCCCAGGAGACTATGCAAAAACCTTTACCACGCTTAGCCACTCCATCATTATCCTGCCATTTCTCGGACAATTCTGCCACTAGACCCAGGTAAATTGGCATCCACCTGCGACTATTGGTAAGATTCTAAAAAGCGGGGGTAATCCAGTCTCTCTCTCTCTCTCTCTCTCTCTCTCTCTCTCTGTTCCTCTGACCACCAGCCCACACAGAACACCCCCAAAAAACGGAAAAGGAAAGGCGGAAATCGTCGTGCGTGAAGCTCAATGGTGTGGAATGACTTTCCCCCTGTCCACCATCCAGATAGCCGCCCACCTGTCGACCATCCTGACTGTCTGGACAGGCGCTTGTACATCTATTTAGTACGTTCAACGTAGCTTAAACTATTTCATTCTTTTTTTGAAGTCGGGATACGGCCCAAAAATTGAAAACCTTGATGCGGCTCTGCCAGTTCTAGCTTTTTTTATAGGAAGATTTAGGGCTTTACGCTCTTATCGTCCGACCTATATGAGGCTTCGAAATCTTTGCACCACGAAAACCCTCCTCTTCCTTCCTTCGTTCCCACCATTAACGGGCGGGCGGGGGTCGAGACCGCTAGACCTAGAAGTTTGATGGGCAACCCCTGGGTTTTCTGGTGTGACTCGCTCTGTCATTCCCTTGAGATACCGGATCTGGCCGTTGAAATGACCGCCACGATCTAGTAAATTTTAAAGATATTTCTATACGCTTTGTTTCAACTTTTTTTTTCTAAAAACCTCATCCGATTCTAGGAGTAGATTTTGTCAAATTAAATCAGAGTAGAATAGCGATCTTCGATAGTTTTTTTAGTCGCGATGTCCATATTTTTTTATTTCTAGTTCTTGATGCTAATTTAAACCATTGAAGACGCCGGGAGATGGCGAAATATGTTTCTTCCAGACCGAGCCCTCGACCTCAGAACGCGCCTCCGCCAGCTCCGCCTTCAAAACCACCATCCAAGGAACGGATATTGAGAAGAAACACTGGAAGGTAAGCTTTCTCTCTCTCTCTCTCTCTCTCTCTCTCTCTATCTATCTCTCTGTCGCTCTCTCTCTCTCTCTCTCTCTCTCTCTCTTTCTCTCTTTCTCTCTCTCTCTCTCTCTCTCTCTCTCTTTCTCTCTCATTCTATCTCTCTGTCTATCTCTCACTCTCTCTTTCTTCCTCTTACTCTTTCTATCTCTCTATCTTATGGCTGTATGTCTCTCTCTCAGCTTCTCTCACCATTTCTCTTCTCTCTGTCTCTCTGTTTCCTTCCAATACCAACAAATTTCCTTCAGACTGCGCCGCGGCGATTCTGTCTCCTCCGATACCATCTACCAAGTCATCGACGACAACTACGAAGCCATGCCCACGTTTTTAAGGGACATCGAATTTGTTCCCAGGTAAAACCAATCCTCTCACTGCTTTTTTTTTGCATTCCCCGGCTTTAAATCCTGCCTTGGCTTCACGATCCCTTTAAAACGCTTCGAATTCCAGACTCCCCGACCTTCCACCACCACCCCTACCATCAGCCGCTCGCCTCTCTACAATATCCCTTCAAACAACCTCCACAACACCCCTACTGACACCCTCACCTGTGCGCCCGTTACCTGAACTACCCAGCGATACTGGGGACGAAGGGAAAAAGGCGGAAACGGAGGCTACGAAGCACTACGGTACCGCGACGCTCGGTCGGAGGTCTAGACTGGAAGGGTGGGTTTTGAGTGGATATTTGTACTTTTATCCCTGGCTACGGTGACCTACAGTAATCCGAACTCTCCCAAATTGGCTTTTTGAGATACCTACAGTACCATAATAGCCCTAGGAGCTATTTTCAAATATCCGCAAGGTTGCTCAGCTACCGTAACCTACCTAACTAGGGAATGGTCTCCACTCGACATCGAATTTCTTGTTGCAAGTTAGCTCATTTTGTAGATCTCGACGAGACGAATCGATTGATGTAACTTTTAGCTGCGGATACCTTATTTTCACAAAGTTACAGCCCTTTAAAGTTTTTGACCTACCTTCATAAGCCCTCCCCGCATCCCCTCCACCGTGGCCTGGTGGCCTAGTGGCGTAGTAGTCGGCTTCTGGGGAATCTGCTCGAATCTGCTTTTTGAGCTTATTACCGTAATCTACAGTAACTCTAACCCGAAAAATTATAAGCAACCAATTTCAATAATTTTTCAGCGATCTACGTCCAAAAATTCGGCCCCCATCGCCGCCGGTCGCCCAGAAAACGGAAACGCAAAACGATTCTGAAGCGGAAGTGACCCAGAAGCTGGCAGAAACCTACCTGAACGACGACACCGACATGTACGAGGAGATTGGAATGAATTTGGTATTTCTAACGTGTATTTCGGAGTTTTCTATACCTTTAGCCAAGCTCATCAACCTCCGGAACGAGTAGCCATTCGGAATATGTGACGTCGATTTACTCTGCTGGAGAGACGGAGACGTGGTGGGGAATTTTACAGCGTAATCGAAAGGAGGTCATTAAAGCATTGCTTTTAGCGGTATTTGATACTTCCATGACACTCCTCTTTACGGGTCTAGAAATTTGATTTTCAGGACGTAATCCTTAAATTCCGCTAATACTGCTTAAGCTGAAAGCTGAAACAGTTACGCTACGCCCCCTAAATTTCGAAATCCCTCCAGGAAAAGCCGGATGTGCTGACGAATTCCCCTCATGAATCGTCATTTCCCAAAAAGGCTTCATCCCCTGGAAAATCAATGTCAAACAAATCCATGCTTTTCTATCTTCCCTCTCTCAGCACGATGTCCACGCATTGCCGGTGTACGAATTGCCAGACAAGGAGAAGCCTCCTCACCACATCACAGCACGAGCTCAACGTTATTGAAAAGGTGGGTATAACGACGATTCTGGAGATTCTGGAGCTATCTCTCTATCCCTCTCGCTCTCTCGCCCTCTTGCTGTCTCCCACTCTCTTCCTCCCTCCCTCTCTCTCTCTCACTTTCTCTCTCTCTCTCGCTCTCTCTCACTCTATCGCTCGCTCTCTCAAGCTCGCTCTCTCGCTCTCTCTCTCTCTCTCTCTCTCTCTCTCTCTCGCTCTCTCTCTATGTCTCTCCCCCTCTCCAATTACCTCCTTTTAGCCGCGAATCCAAAACGGCAGCTCGACACTCGGCAGATCATTGGGTCGAAAAATCCGCCCGGTCAGCACCATCGAATTCGACAAGCTGATCAAGTTCAAGAGCGACTTCCATTTGAACCTGTCGAAAAAGGTGCGGTATCCGTTTGGATGTCTCTTCTTAAGAGTCCAAAGATCGGCTCTATTTTGCTTTTAGATGGAGCGCCTCCGGAAGCGAGTAATGGCCGAGAAGAGCCGTCGTTCCGTATCGAAATGTACGCTCAACGCACGGCAACTGGACACGGATCACTATGGGCATATTGAGGACGATCGGTAGGTTATGCTTCCGGGGCAGCGGTACGCGACGTGTGTAGCAATTTGCGTAACCGGTATGGCTTCGGGAGGTTAAGCCGGGGCTGGGTTACTGTCTTCATCAGCCCAAGTCTAGCCTAAGCCTAAGCCTAAGCCTAATCCCAAGCCTAAGCCTAAGCCTAAGCCCAAGCCTAAGTCTAAGCCTCCGCCTTTAAAGCTATGAATTCATACTTTACAGATATATCTACGGTGATGACTGGTCGACGGATGGTGAGGTGGAGATCCGATCACCAGGTAGAGGCGACTTTAGGGTATTCCCAAATTTTGTCAACCCTCCTCAACCTTGTAAAATTTTGATTATGTGGTGTAGCAACAAAAGTGTGCAAAACGGCAACTAATGGCACGAGAACACTCACGATTTGGGCCCACCCCACCGGGGAGACGATGATTGCCGATGAGCAATCCGTTTTCTACGCCCCCCTTTCGTGCTTCTGCTTCCTCGGGCGACTCAACACGGGGCCCCCACTATATACAACGTTCAAATGGCTACTAGAAAAGCTATTTTTAGCGAATGGTATATTAAAAATTAGGCTCGCCCTTTCTCTGTCTCGCTTCCTCTGGCTCTCTCTCTCTCTCTCTCTCTCTATCTTGCTCTCTCTAGCTTGCTCACTCTCGCTCTTTCATTCTTTCGCATTCTCGTTCTCTGACTCCCTTTCTCTCTCGCTCTCTCTCTCTCTCTCTCTCGTTGTCTCTCTCTTTTTCTTTAGATCACTCTCCCCTTTCAAAAATCAACCCTGTAATCCGCCTTCCGCGTTCCTTTGAAAGAATAAACTGATTTTTCAGAGCTCGACCCGCTGAATCCGCCATCTTTGCATGAAGTGATGGAACCACATCTCCGGGAAGCTTTTCCGTCGGCAGAGCCAGGTGAGCAGCAGGATTCTCTCTCTCTCTCTCTCTCTCTCTCTCTCTCTCTCTCTCTCCTCTCCCATTCTCCCCCTTTTCTCTCTCTCTCTCTCTCTCTCTCTCTCTCTCTCACAACCACTTCTCCCTTTTTCAGTGCCATCACCCACCACTCCCTAAATAACGGGTGTGTACATGCACCTCATGCGTTTCCGTGTGTCTCCTTTTACACACAACCCCCATACGAGTACCTCCTCCACACACGCGTGTAAAATTTCCATATAGGTAGTGTGGACGGAATGTCGTGATTGTCGGTTGTATCGCTACGTACCCCCCTCAGTTCTGCACGATCGCTAGCGTCATTAGGGATATATACCGGAAAATTACGGTTGTTTTCAGCTTGCTCCAGTTCCGCTACATTTTGCCCGGAGACTGAGGGTCTTTGTTTTTCGCCTGAAGTCCAGGAATTGACCGTCGGGCTGGATGGGCTGAGCGTTAAGGAGGTAGGGGAGATTCGAGAACTTAGGTCATATCAAGCCTAAGCCAATGCCTAAGCCTAAGCTTAAGCTAAACCTAAGCCCAAGCCTAAGCCTAAGCCTAAGCTCAAGCCTATGCCTAAGCCTAACTCTAAGCCTATGCTTAAGCCTGAGCCTAAGCTCAAGCCTAAGCCTAAGCCTAAGCTGAACCTTTTAGGATGAGCCCGAATCCAAGTCATTCTCCTCCCGACTCCACAACACTCAACCTCTATATCAATTGTACATGCTCGCCGAGCAGGAGAAGATCCTTGAGTCCCAAATCAACGAGCCGGCGCAGATGATTATTCAGAAAACAATGGTTTGTCAATTCCATCAGCGAAGTCACTTGATGGTACCTTTAGAACTTACGAAGGGAGTCGTCCTCGTCGTCATCGGATTCTGGGCTTCGAGCTGATTGTTCGCACTCCACGACGCATAGCTCGTCAGCCTTGACGTCGAGTACATCTTTGAGGTAGGTAAAGTACAGTGCACTACGATAGGAAAAGTACAGTTCACCGCGATGCGTCAGATAAGGATTACTCTATGCTACGCGGCGATACATGTTTAAGCTTTGTTAGCAACGATACGTATCTAACAAGCGCTACGCGATGATACGTACTTACACTAAGCTGCGGGACAATCCGTACAGATATACGCATGAAGTGGCGCGCAGAGTGCGTATTAGTCGTTGAGACGTATTAGTAATAAGAATTGGACGCTAAACTATACCTATACAAATCTACTTTAAGCTACGATTCATACTTGCCTGAACTACGCCCCCTTTTGCAGACGTGACCGACTCGAAAGCGTGCGCTACGGCAGCCAACGTAGTCTATGGTGTGAACTCCCAGAAGTGAAAGATGCTGGCCTACTCGACCAACTTGACGACGAGACCAAGCAGCTCCAGGAAGCGTATTTTGAGGTTGGCCCCAAAAATATGCCAAACCTTATGTTTTAGGTCATCACCAGCGAAGCCAGCTACTTGCGGTCGTTGAACATCCTCATCACGCACTTCATGGCCGACAAGGCGATGTTAGGTATAGAAAAATTTAAGGCGTCTTTAAATTAATGTATTGAAGAATTTCAAGTAGATAAAAATACCACATTCAGGCTCAAAAAGCTCGGACTCTGTAATAGCCAACGACGATCGGAAGCACTTGTTCAGCAACATTTTCGCTGTCCGGGATTGTAGTGAAAGGTGAGCGTCTCTTGCGCGCGCTCTCTCTCTCATTCTCTATCTACCTCTCTCTCTCTCTCGCTCTGTCACTTTCCCAGCCCCTTTAAACAGGAATTTCTAAGGCTTCTCGTCGATCTCGAGACCCGTCTGGAAGAGTCGCTAGTCCTCGACTGCCTCTCCGACATCCTCATCCACCACTTTGAGACCAACTTCGAGGCGTACATCAAGTATTGCAGCAATCAGGTGAGTAGGCCTAAGCCAAAACGAAGCCTAAGCTAAGCCTACTGTAAACTATAAGTCCATTTCAGGTGTACCAAGATCGAACACTTCGCCGGCTGAAGACGGAGAATTCCAGTTTTCTATCGGCTGTAGGGAGGTTGGAGTCGGACAAGCAGGTAAATCTCTATCAATCTCTCTCTCTCTCTCTCTCTCTCTCTCCTCTCTATCTCTCTCGCTCTCTCTGGGTTTACCTCACCAACAGTGTGAACCTCGAAAAACTCATTTTCAAGTGCCAAGGCCTCGACATGCGATCATTTCTGATGTTGCCAATGCAACGAATCACCAGGTGGGTCTCGAATCTCCCATTAATGCGTCGTGAATTTTTTAGATATCCACTGCTGATCTACGCGATTCTGGAGCGTCAGCCGATCGGCTCCGAGAAGCACAGGAACGCGGCGAAAGCGTTGGCGCTGGCTAATCAGGTTTGACTTGGGCTTCGGCTCACCTTAATTCTTGACTTGAGCTCATGCTCGGACTAACGAACTCAACTGCCTTGATATAATGTCGTAATCTATAAAACCCAACACTTTAGGTCGTGTCGAGCTGTAATGAGGGCGCGAGAAGAATGGAGCGAACCGAACAACTTCTTGAGGTCGATCGCCGGCTGGTTTACAAGGACTCAGAGTTGAAGTGGGTTTTAGTATCGATACCTTTTTCTCTCTCTGTCTCTCGCTCTCTCTCTCGCTTTCTCTCCCCCATATTATATTTTCCCATTCCAGAAGAGTAGCCCTCGTCTCGGCCCATCGGCACCTCGTCAAACGGGGTTGCCTCTACGAGATCTCAGAGCGAGGCCCAAAATCGTTGCTTCATGTAAGTGATATCTAGATATACCGTAGGCGGATAAACAAATACACCCTTTTTGTTACTATTTTTAATTTTTAGAGCCGTCCAAAAGCGCGTCATGTGTACCTCTTCCTCTTCAGCGACCTGTTGATCATCACCAAGCAGAAAATGTAAGCTTTATGAACAACTTTTGTCTCTGTCTGTCTCTCTCTCACTCTCTCGCGCTCTCTCTCGTTTTTTTTTGCGCAATCAGATAATTTAAAAATTCCAGGAACGGCACCTACGTCTGCCAAGACTACGCGGAGCGCCGTTTCGTTGACACCTCACCGTTGGAGCCAGAAAATCCAAAGGTTAGCAGATGCTCTCAATTCTAAATATATTTTTTAAGATATCCTCCGGGCTACTTCATCAACTCCCCAATCGACCTCATCTCTTCCTCTGCGTATTGATGCGGAATGCAAGGGGGAAACAGTCAGGTAATACTTAACTCGCTCTCGCTCTCGTTTCCTCTCGCTCTCTCTCTCACTCTGTCTCTTTTTTCTTAAAACAACTAAATTTTTAGAATACCTCTTCTCGGCCGATAACGAAAGTGACCGCGAGCGCTGGCTGAGCGCGATGCGGCCCCCGCAAAGCGCAAACCCGGACGAGAGGGTGTACGCCGAGTGGGACTGTCCACAGGCTGTGGCCGTACACTCATATGGACGCGCACAGGATGACGAGCTGGACCTGGCCGTTGGGGATCACGTCAATATTTTAAGAAAGATGCCTGATGGTGAGTTTAACGATGATCTATTTCCTCTCTCTCTCCCTCTCTCTCTCTCTCTCTCTCTCTCTCTCTCTCTCTCTCTCTCTCTCTCTTTCTCTCTCTCTCTCTCTCTCTCGCTCTCCCGTTAGATCTTAATTTTCAGGTTGGTTCTACGGAGAGCGATCCCGAGATGGTACTGGAGGATGGTTCCCCTCGAGCTACGTTCAGCAACTTGTGAACGATCACACCAGGGCCAAGAATTATCGACAACGGCTCAGGATGATGCAGGTGAGGAGAGAAATAGAGCGAGAGAGAGAGAGAGTTAGAGAGAGCTAGAGAGAGCGAGATAGAGCGAGAGAGAGAAAGGGAGAGAAAGCTAGATAACGCGCGAAAGAAACAGAGAGGTAGAGAAAGCGGGAGAGCGAGAGCGAACGAGAGAGAGAGAGAGAGCTACAGAACGAGCGATAGAGAGAGGGGAGAGAGGGTGAGTTCCAGAGAGAGAAAAATCCCACGAAATCCAATTTTTTTCAGGCAGCTTCCGACCTCAGAAGCGATCTGCCCCCTCACATGAGCCGCCATGCCAAGCCCCCAGCCCTCATCCAAAAGCTCCGGCGCATGAGCAACCCGCGACAGCTTTTCCTACCAAATTAACATATTTGGAAAACATTCCGGCTTTTTATGATTCAAAACCTACGAACGAACGAAACCCTCAATCTCCCACCCGATTCCTGGTATTTAAAGATGTGATTTAATGACTTTTTAATGAGTTTTGATGAGTTTAATGCATATCTTAGATAGATTTTCTAAATTCTATGTTTGTGATTTTATATCTGTCATGCATGCTTGAAATTTCGCACAATGAATATTGCTCTCAATTGCCCGGCTCAGTGTCTCTCCCCCCGGAAATGTCCATGTCAGTTTTTCGACCCTGTATTTTGATGCCCGGTACCGTCTGTGTTATACTGTCCTTATCGTGTTTTGCTATATTTTGCGTTTTTGAGATGTTTGATAAAAATTTCGGAGAATTTGTGCCTAGATAGTCCTTGGTAAGCGAGCAGAAATTCTTTCAGAAAAGGTAAACTATCCGAGGTTCTTTTAAGCGAAGCCAGGTAGCAGAGGTTCTTTGAGGAGCTGCAAGCCAGCAAGGATCATTTCGGCTGAGCGTTAGGCTATAAAAGGTAGTTTGACGCATTAATGGAAAGCGTCCGGGGCAAGATAGCAGGAATTCTTTGGGAAGAGGCAACCTAGCAAAGATTATTTGAGAAAAGGGATGCTAGCAGAAGTAGAAAAGGCAAGCTAGCAGAGACCCTTTGGGGCGAGACAGGCTAGCAGAGTTTCTTTCTGGGAAAGCATGCAAGCAGTGATCTTTTGAAAATAGACCGCTAGCTGAGGATCTTTGATAAACGGCCAGCTAGCAGAGATTTTTTGAGAAGGGGCCGGGTATCAGAGATTCTTTGAGAAGAGGCGAGCTATCAGAGATTATTTGATGGCCGGGAAGCTAGCAGCGGTTCTTTGAGAAGAGAGAAGCTAGCAGAGATTACTTGATGGCCGGGAAGCTGGCAGCGGTTCTTTGAGAAGAGAGAAGCTAGCAGAGATTATTTGATGGCCGGGAAGCTGGCAGCGGTCCTTTGGAAAGACTTTTTATACTATTTTCATGGACTACAAAGCTAACCCGAGATTCCCACCTCCTTTAAAGATGTTATACCCTAGATTGTGGTCTATTTCAGGCTAGCCGTCCCATTCAGGGAAAACGTGCGAAAACTAGCGCCGCACAGTGCATTGAGAGGAATGGTGCGGCCTTTTCGGGCCTGGAAACGCGTGTTCCCACGGGGTGTGGCTGTCTCTCTCTCACTCTCACTCTCTCTCTCTCTATTTGGCAAAAGAAGCGGGAAGGACTGATGGGAGGGACCGAATGTTGCAATGTCCGAAAGGATGGGCCGCAACACCACAAAAGCCTCTTGCACGGCAAAAACACGCTGGCCAGGAAATACCCGGGGCGGGGGGCTACAAGCCACTTCGGGCCTCCCGCTCTGCGCAAACAATGCCAACCCAACGAATGGCGGCCCGGTGAGGACAAAGTCCAAATTTGTAACGGAATGGAGCAGATATGCAACGATGTCTTTTCCGGGGTAGGGGGCGGTGCAATGAAAAGATAAAGTTTTTCATAGACAAATTTTGTAAGCTAAGACTGCGATTTTGGTCGCCTTTTTACCAGTATTAGGTGCTGCAGTCTGTAAACATCCTAAAGCCGTAGTTTTTGAGAGTTTATGGGTATATACTTATACCCTGGCCGTACGCCTTAAAGCATTTTTTTCCGTGTTAAGTTGCTTTTATTATTTCTAAAATTTTATTCCTAAAACTGGCAAAAAAGCCAACCTGATCACGCTAAGCCTAAGCCTAAGTCCAGGCCTAAACCTAGGCCCAAGCCCAAGCCTAAGTCGAAGCATAAGCCTAAGCTTGCAAGAGGAAACGCCAAAAAAATCCCGACGGCCGAAACCCCGACATGCAAAATAGCTGTTGAAGAGGATGGAAAGAAAAAGAAAAGTCAAGAAAAGTCAGGATTTTGACCTGTCGGGATTTTGCCGTTCGGGTTCCGGCTGCCGACATTTTGACTGGAACTTGCGCTGGCTGCACTGCTCGCTCTAAAAATCAAAAATTCCGATTTCCTCATTTGCATCTCTTAAATTCTGGTGCACTAGCACCCCGATACCACGACAAACATGTCGCTAGCGTGCTCCCGCCAAGTGGGTCCATTCGGACCAAAATGTGCCCGCTGGCAACGCGCCACCCACTTCATCCTGCCACTGTTCCGACGCCCGGGCACACTGATAGTGAGCGCTGTAGAGCGCCAAAATACGGAACTTGGCGCGCCCCGAGGGCCTCGTATGGCCCCCAGACTACGCGCGCAGACCCCGGAAATCTGCATGTGAATGTGTGAGAGCAAACATGGGGCACGCGGAAAAATAAGACTCGCCTGGGGGGCGCACCCTGGTCCCGCGGGGAGATCGGAGTGGTCATCGTTTTGGGGTAGGATGTTGTTGACCAAGAATGGCATCAGGGAAAATCAGATGGCTTCGATGACTTAGGTCGCAAAATTTTTCGTGGATGGAAAAGAGAGACAGGCTTCTGGAGAAAGAGAGAGAGAGAGAGAGAGAGAGAGAGAGAGAGAGAGAGAGAGTGAGAGAGAGCGAGAGAAAGAGCGAGAGACAGGTAAGAAAAACAGAGATGGAGAGAGAAAGAGAGAGCAAGAGTGAGAGCGGAAGAGACGGAGAGAGAGAGAGAGCCCGTTTCTTTAGATCGTTGAGGTGATTCTAGATCGATTTGTTAGAAAATCGTTTCAAGTCACTACAGGGTGAGGCATATATATGGCAACACCCACAAACCATACTAATTTGCCTGCTAGCGGAAAGCTAATCATTTTTTCGGAGGATTGGATGTTTCCTACAAAAGAACTAGTGTTTCTTTATGCAGGAGACAAATGAAAACGGTTGCAAAATTTTTGTTTTTTGATTTATAGGAACGGGAAGTTTAGCGATTTTGGCGAAAAAGCGGGGTGTCGGCACGCTGCTCCTAGAACCCCGGATATTGGTAGCTCTGCTCCAAGGTTTTGCATTGAAGTTCAGTTTGATCTTATTTACTTTTACCAAAAATCTTTTAGTCAGAAACTAGCGAGGGAATTTTTCTATATTCAAAAACGCGCGCTTACCCCACCCCTGACCACCCTTATGTTGACCACTTAAAATTAATTATAAAATGCCTGCCAATTGTATTGTGTTATTTAAGAAGTTTTTTACATTTTAGGCATTGGATTGAACCAATTTCGGGCGTTGAAACCAAGCAATTCAACGCGTAAAGATCGAAAAAAGGGAATTTCACTTTTTTACTATGATTCTTGGGACCAGCCCAGAACAATTCTAAAATTTCTGCCTACTTAAAGGAAATAAATTGTTTTCATTACTTTTATCTGTCACTACTAGGTAGTACACATGTTTTTAGGGGTCATTCGTACCCAAAACGATGTTTCCGAACCATGCTGAAATTGGCTTCCAAGGGGTTCCGTGCCAGCGCCACCCTTACCACACCCAATTTTTGCTTCAGAACAAAAGTTTATAGGGTTGCTGCGTTCCAATATTTTAAGAGTGGTTACGGGACCTCTGTGGCCATATTTCGGCAAATTATTGAAATCCAGCCAGCTTTCTTGATCTTTTTAGAGACTCGGGAAAGTGTTGCCATATATATGCCTCACCCTGTAGGTCAGCAGAGCACCAAATTCCATGCGATCCCTCTCTCTCCCTCTCTCTCTCTGTCTTGCTCGCTCCTTCCCTCTCGCTCTCTCGCTCACTAGCTCTCTCTAGCTCTCTCTCGCCTCTCTGCACTTTTCGCTCTCCAAAATCAGCAGCTGTCCCTTGCTACTTATTGTGTTACGTAGCGCGGCGGCGCAAGTCCATGTTGATCCATAGGAATGACCCTCCATACCAAGCCTTGCAGGTTCCTTTAAACATTCAATTTCGAAATCGATTACAAACAAATCCGAGAATAGAGAGGAGTGACGCGTGGCGTACCGCTGACGAATCGATTTCTTAGCGAAAACGCCATAAGTGAAAGAATCCCTGAAAAACGTGGATTTTCAAAAACCCTGAATCCGTTCTTTCCTCTCCCTTCATTCCAACCATGGCCATCGGCTAGGTGTGAGAGCGTGCGCGTGGAGTGTCCCGTAGCGATGGCCGGACCGCAGGGGCGGATGTTTGCCATTTGGACCATTTTGGAGAAGAGACGATTCCCCTGAGGGAAGGGTGGGGCCCGAGAGAGCGAGAGAGTGAGAGAGACAGTGAGGGGCGAGGGAAGCAGAGTGGTGGGAGGGCCCTTGGGCCCCGCTTCGCCGTTTATAAGCCGCCGAAGACGTGAGGCCGGAGCCACGGACGCGCGCTTCCGCTATCACTTCCAGGCTCTTCACGCGGTTGGGATTTTTGGCTGAATTTACGATGGTTGTTGGCTCTTTTAAAAGATTCTGCTTTAGATACGGTATCCGGATCCTGATATAGGCCCTACTTTTGGAAAATGCTTTTCGAAAAAAACTTACTCTGTTGGAACGCTGATATCAACACTTCATAAAATATTTTACTCGTTTTTTATCGATTTTTGCTTATTTTTAGCCTATTTTTTGACTTCTAGATTTGCTTTAAAAAGCCCGAAAAGCCTTTTTTAAGAAATTTAAGATTTTTTCGTTGATCACGATTTTCACAGACTTAAAATTCAAACAACCATTCAAAAAAATGTCTGTGTTTTTCTATACTTTTTGAAGCGATTTCTTAATGTATTTCTTTTTGGAATTTTTGCTTTTTAGCTTTAGCTTATTTTCATTTTCAGTTCATTTTCGTAAATCGCTCTGTGTCGCCTAGTGCTTACTCTCCCCTATTCTCGTGCTCACTCACAGTCGCTCTCTCTCGCTCTCTCACTTTCTGTCTCTCGATATCTCTCTCTCTCTCTCTCTCTTGTTCTCTGTCTCTCTCTCTCACTGACTCTGCCTCTTATACGCTTTTCAAATCAGCTGTCACAATGGTCATCCGGGTTGCCGTCATCTCCCTCTGCTTCCTAAACGTTGCCACAGCCCAATGGTGGGCCGAGGCCAAGCACTTTGAGACGACCACGTTGCCAGTGAGTTCATCCCAGAATTTTTCTTAATCATCTAAGGAGCTCGGCCCGATCTCCACGACCCCGGAGAGCAGCACAAAATTGGAAAAGATTTTGGCGACACAGCGGCCTGTGGAGGAGAAGACGGATAAGGTAAGCTTACGCTTAGACTTAGGCATAGGCTTAGGCATAGACTTAGGATTAGACCTAGGCTTAGGCTTAGGCTTACGCTTTTGCTTGACCCTCGCAATAAGCGGCTTTAAACGCTCAAATCTCGGCTTTCAGGCAACTGAAGCTTCTTCTTCATCTTCTTCCTCATCTTCTTCTTCCACCACCGAAGGTTCAACAACTGAGAAAGTGGAGGAGAAGCCTACTGAAGCAGTCGTGGTTGCTGAGAGCACCACTGAAGCCAAACCGGTGGGTACTGAAGCTTTTCTAGCTCTCTCTCTCTCTCTCTCTCTCTCTCTCTCTCTCTCTCTCTCTCTCTCTCTCCCTCCCTCCCTCTAAACTTTCATTTCAGGAGCCAATCACGTTGAAGCCCATCATCAAGGCCGAGATCCGCGCCGTTGAAAAGAAGACTACCGTTGTGGTTGTTGTACGTTTTCCATACCAGAACCGATTACGCAACTGAATTTTAGCCCGAAACCACGGAAGCTGCTACCGACGCGAGCACGACGTTGAAGCCGACTACGATGGTTGCTGTTACGGAGGTGAAGATCGAGGAGACGACGCAGAAGGAGACTGAGGTAAGAAAGGGAGAGAGAGAGAGAGAGTGCGAGAGAGAGGTCGAGAGCGAGAGAGCGCGAGAGAAATGTTCGATTTCTAGGCCACCACCGAAGCCGTGACTGAGGCTTCAACCACCGAGAAGGAAAAGCTCAGACTTGGTCCCGCCACGCTCGCCACCCTCATTCCTGAAGTTCCCTCCACTGAGGCACCGGAAGCGAGCACGACCGTTGAGGTGAGCCTATGGAAGAGAGAGAGAGAGAGAGAGAGAGAGAGAGCGAGAGGGAGAGAGGCAGACAGCGAGAGAAAAGTTATCACGAGAAAACATTTCAATCCACCCCTTTCAGGTCTTCTCCAAGATGCTCAAGCCCGACCTCGCCACCATCTACCGCCGTCTCTTCAACCTGAAGCCGTTCAGGAACCCGGCCGCCGGCTTCCAGTAGAAGTGACTTCCGGAAGTTACCGTGTACCCTCAATGAGGCGTCGAATTCTCAAGCCCCCAAAAACTCATTGTTGTCTCCAATGATTCCGTGTGGAGTTCAAAATTCCAGTCGCATCGATGATCGTCAGACTATTTGTGCCTTATCATTTGTTTTTCATGCCGCCAGAAGATGGTTGGGAATAAAATTGCATATCTTAACTTTGCGATTTTGGATAGAGAGAGAGAGTGAGAGAGAGAGAAAGAGAGAAAGAGAAAGATAGCGAGAGATAGCGAGAGATAGATAGAGATGGAGAGAGAAACACACAGGGAGGGAGGGAGCGAGAGAGAGAGAGAGAGATACAGAGAGAGAGAGAGAGAGAGAGAGAGAGAGAGAGAGAGAGAGAGAGGGATCGAGAGAGAGAGAGAGAGAGAGAGAGAGAGAGAGAGGGAGAAAGAAGCAGAGAGAGGTTGTGAGCGTTAGAGAGATAAAAAGCTGTCCCAGCCCCTTTAAACCTCACTTTTTTCCTATCTTCCGTATTTTCCAGCTATAAAAACTCCCACTTCCCCCAGCGTTGTGAGTTGCGTAGCGGAGCGAGGCTTTCCAGTCGAGTTGTTGGCATTCCACTTGGGCAGCCCATTAGAAGGGAAGGGAGAAGAGAAGTGGAAGGGCCTTTTCGGGCCCTGAAGGGAGGGAAGAAAGGGGTCTTCTATCCCCTTCTATTCCCCTTCGACATTCCTCCTAATTAAGCCCGCACCCCACACACATGCACATACACCACATCCACCCATCACATACAGATAGAAGAGGAGAGAGAGGGAGAGAGAGAGCGAGAGAGAGCGAGAGAGGCGTCGAGACGTATAGAATTTTCTACACAGCTCCATTTTGAGCTGATTTTCGGCTTTGTTAAAGGTACCTAGAATAATATTAAAAAAGATTTTGCCGATATTTCAACAAATGGCTAATAAGTATTTTAATAGTTTGCTTCATGAGTTTAACTATATTTTAAGGGAAAAAACATTGAAAAACTTAGAAACTGGAAAATTTTGGCAGGAAACGGCGCTTTATGTAAAAAATCGACATTGTTGCAATTTTAATAAAAAATTTTGCAGTTTACGTTTAGAAACTGTTTAAAAATGAAAAAAACTGAATATTATGGAAAAATTTTCGTACCCCTGATGTCAATCTTAAATTTTTGTCAAAATTCTCAAGAGTTGATGCTGTCGACGTTCTTTCCCCGAAATTTGCGTACGTAAATTTCGTATTCTGTACTTTCGCAATCCTGAATTTTCTAGGTTGTAAGGTTTCGAGATTATGAATTTTCGACAGCTTCAATATCGGTACTAAACTTCCCAAATCCGAATTTCGGCAACGTGAATATCGAGAACAATTTCGAGATCGAGACTTCTGAAAGTACCCCGTTTTCGATATAGCATGCAAAGTATAGATCAGGCCAGAGTTGGAAAGCCGCGAAGCGGTGTATTTTATGTATCACACCCCGGATCCAATCTGAATTCCGTGAATTCCCGTCGTCGCCCGCGGCTTCTGCCATATCGAGGGTGAATGGTGGGAAATGGATGAATGGATGGGAGATTCGAGATGGATGGGAGAGAGAGAGAGAGGGAGAGAGAGAGAGCAAGAGTGTGTGTGGTGAAAGAAGAAGGACGTGCGGCGTGTATTCTATCGATTCTGGCCCACCCCGTCCCTTTCCACTGCCGAAAATGGATGGCAACCAACGGGGGGTGAGGGCAGACAGCAGAAGCTGCTTTCGTTTCCCTGAAGCTACGACAACCAGTTGAAATATTTGTTATTTGGCGGGCTGCGTTATTTTAAGAGGGTTGATGAGGATAAGAGGATTCGGCTATCTACTGGATTGCCAGAGTTTTCTGCTGTACTCTGCTATTCTTTTGGGGTTGAAAGCGTCAGAATTTCTCTTTTTAGAGCTATTCGGCTAAAAGATACTATTCTACCAATTTGCATAAAAATTTTTCAGCTTTAGAACATTAGATCCTTGGTTCGTTAAGCTTACAAATACCTCAAAACCGTTTAAAAACCCGTAATAAACGGGCAAAGTCAAGTTCCAAGCCTCGGGCCGGGAATTAAACAATATACCACCCCATATTTGTATACCTTAAGCTTTAAATCGTTTGTTTTCTTGATCTCTAGAGGTAGGCGATTATTTCGATGTAATAGAAAGGATTAATGGACATCACGCACGCACTAATACATAGACGAACCGCTTGCCTGTAGGCTCCGCGCTTCCGGGACTAAGCTCTTATCTTTATTTTTCTTTTCTTCATTTTTTTGGGGTTTGCGTTTAAGGATAAATATTGTTCACAAAAATGGCTTCCTTTCGATACCAGTTAGAAAACGTGACTAAAAATAAGAAAAATAGGCTTAGGTTTAGCCTGAGCTAAACCTAAGCTTAAGCCTAAACCTAAGCCTAAGCCTAAGCCTAAGCCTCAGCCTAAGCATAGCCCAAGACAACGCACATTTTAAAACCGTTTTGCGTTAAGGGCACCTTACCTAGCGTTCCGATTTGGTTTTCCCAAATTGCACCTGTCTGACCTATTTTCAGGTCCCGCTCCCTAACCACCTGCCCCAACCGCAACTTTTCGTCTGAACTGAGTCCCCAAATCTTTCTCGGGATTCCCGATTGGGACAGGGCTTCAAGGGTTCGGTTTGAAGCCCCGGCGGGGGATAAACGAATTCGGGACGGCTACGAGTTGGCAATTAGGCGGTGGTATTCGATTTTTGAGGGGGAACGCGGGCTTTGTCTGGGGATTGGGGAGGCGGTTTATGGCTTGAATTTGAGGTTCAGCTACTCAGCAAATAGTTCTTTGGCTCTAGGATGTTCGCGCTCTCTCATTCTCTCTCTCGCACTCTCTTTATAGGTCTCTCTTCCTTCCACACTCCCTTAATTTCCCTAAAATCAGCCAAGTTTTTCCTGAACCTCCACTTCCAGGAGCCAAGGTTTTTCCTCCGTCGAAGTGTGAATAATAATTCGGGAAGGGGCTTGGCGAGGTAGAGAGAGAGAGAGAGAGAGAGAGAGAGAGAGAGAGCAGTGAGGCATGCACATGAATAAGCAATCGCACACCACATTCCGAACCTCCCCACCAGCCAACGCAGCAGCACAACTCTCCCCAACTAGTCGGAAGTTTCGAATTCGGTGGCTTGGGAGATAAATTTGTATCATTTAGTTGCTTTTATCACTCTTCTATAATTACTGCATTTTTTTAATAAGGAACAGGATCTAAAAAAATTTCGGTGGAACGGCCGAAAAAATTACCTAGATCTGTCTTATATCTAACTTGCCCTGTCTGTCTGTCTCTCTCACCTTCTCTCTCTCTCTCTCACTCTTTTTCACTCTACCTTCCGGGCCTAAATTACTCATATTAGTCAAAAGCAGCATCTCCGCCACAATAACAGTCAGCCGCGAAGCAGGTGTGGACGACATTTTGCAGCTTAACCCCGTAGCCATCCTTATGTCTCTCTATCTCTCTCTCTCTCTCTCTCTCTGTCTCATTCTCTCTCGCTCTCTCTCTCTCTCCCATCAGCCGCCCATAATGCCTGAGAGCTATTTTGTAGGGGAGCTAGAGGGGGATATGGGATGGAAGGGGGCCCTAGGCGGATGTGTGTGCGCCCATAATCTGCCTCCCATCGCAAATGGGAATCTTTTCAAGGGGGGTGGTCTCTCTGTTCCTCTCTATGTCTCTATTGCTCTCTCGCTACGCACCAACCTAATAACATCATTTGCTGGCTGAAAAATAGCTGGGAAAGGCCAATACAAGGCGTGAGATTCAGGTAAGAATCTCTACACTTCACTTGTTTTAGATCAAGTCGATTTCTCTCGTACTCTCGCTCTCTTGCTCGCTCTCTCTTTCTCTCTTGCTCTCTCTCTCTCGCAGCAACAACCTTTCTCTCATCGCCGCTCTCCATCGCTTTCCGTCTCCGTCTTATCTTGTCGCTTGCGTGTTTTCCAGCTCTTTCTCTCTCTCTCTCTCTCTCTCTCTCTCTCTCTCTCTCTCTCTCGCTTTTCCGCCTATTAACAAATCGAACCAATTAAGCTGTAAGAAGATGTCCTAAAGCGATGAGGTCGAGGGGGTTATTAAGATCGCGAGAGAGCGCAAGGTAGAGCGAAAGATAGAGAGAGAGAGAGAGAGAGAGAGAGAGAGAGCGAGAGACAGAGTGAGAAAGAGTGAGGAAGATCGAAAGCGAGAGCGAAAGAGACAGATACACTCCCACTCCCTCTGATCAATCACTATTATTCACCCCCTAAATGTTAATCCCAAATCCCCATCACCCTCTCTCCCCTCTTGGTTTCCATAGCGTCGGGTGTTTGCCAGCCTCGGGCCGTTGTTGCCGAAGATGCTTTTTTCGTTTTCTTTGCATTCCTTTTTCGGGTGTCCCGCCAGATCCTCCCCTCCCTCCAGCCATTCGCCTTAATTTTGCGCCCAGGATTAGTGTGGGGCGGATCAAAAGGGGGGTGGCCCGGGGCCTGGAAGGACCGGATGTGCCGTTTTACGAGCCATTCCTAATTCCGAGGTGAAATTTTGGGTCAGACAGAGATTTTCTGATCCTTATTTTTTAAATTTTAAGATCCAGAATTTGAAATTTGCAATACTGCCGTTTCGGTTCGTTCCCAAGCCATTTAATGGTATGCAGTAGACAGTGGCCAATCGGGGCAACCAGCCAGCCGGTCGATCCGAAACGGCCATCTGGCCCCTATTTATTGGCCTCTCGCCGAGACGTTTAAGGGGTGATGGAAAGGGGAGGGGTAATTCGAGACGAAGATGAAGCTCGAGTTTGCTTGGTTTAGGCTTAGCTTAGGCTCTTTAGGCTTAGCTTAGGCTTAGCTCAGGCTCGGCTCAGGCTTAGTCTGAGGTTTTGGCTCACTCCGGCCTGCCAGGCTCAACTCCTCCTAGGCTTAAACTTCTTAAGCTTTTCCTCAGACCCAGATCCGACGTAGACCTAGCTCAAGCTCAGGCCCATGCTCCTCGCCGCCTCCTGCTCCTATGTCA